GAAAATTTTGCCACATCAGCAATTAACTGACGAAAGGACAAAATTGGTCCCAAAAATTGAAGTTTAAGGATTTTTTTAGTACTTTTTGAAGTTTGAGGATAGTTTGAGTCCAAAAATGAAAGTTGAGGGACTGAATCGGGGATATAACCAAAAATAAAAGTAAAAGGAAAAATTGAAAAGACCTTTTCCCACAGAAGTCGAACCAGCTAAGACGAAGACACGACTCCTTTCAAAAAGCACAAGAGACGTCTGCAGCACTACAAACCTTTCATCGGAATACTGCCCTTTGCATTTGCTTAGGGCAAAGCACTGATTCTCGAATCTCTCTCCGAACGGAAACCAAACCCTTCGATTCTTTCGGCGATGGAGGGGATAGACCCGATGGACGTCCTCCGATCTAATCTCTCCCGTGTTCGGCTGCCGGAGCCGACGAATCGCATCTACAAACACGAATGCTGCGTCTCCTTCGATACTCCGGTAATCTTCCACTTCATTTTCCTCTTTCCTTTCAAGGAAGCCCGCCGTGAAAGGAAGAGTGCTGGAATTACTAATTAGATTGCTACCACTGGCGTTAGTAATGCTTCTGTTGAAAATTTTAATCCGAGCTGTGTGTTTTTATTCAGCTTAGTTTGTGTTTGGCTCTTGAGAAAGTTCTCAGAGAAAGTTTTGGTAGCGGAGAAAAGAAGGATTAGTTAGTAGAAGTGGTTTTGTGAGTGTTATTGCATGTTGATATTGTTTTTATGTTAGAGTTGGATAGGAAGTGCAAAAGGAAAAGGTTGAGATGTAACATTCTGTTTCTGAATGCTATATCTTTGTTTATCTGGGTACTTAGACTGAGGATTGGATACATTTATGCACAAAATAGTGATTTGAAGTACATAATCATGTGTGTGGTGATTGAGAAAAAAGGGACTAACTATGCATGCAAAATTAAGTGCAGATTCTCAGCTGAGAGAAAAGTTTTTTTGTTGTTAATTCTATGGTGCTTTGGTTAGGACTTGAGATCTCTTAGTTTGGGTAGGTCCTTGCTGTTCACAATATTAGAAGCTCCGAAGAGAGGGTTTTGTATCCAGTCTTGTCAAACCTTTCTTATTATTGAGTTAACATGATCTAATGGTGTTTTTGTGATAAATTTCAGAGGTCTGAAGGTGGGTTGTTCATAGACATGTCTACATTTCTTGCATTTGGGAAGGATTATGTTGATTGGAACTACAGCAAAAGTGGAAACCCTGTTTATTTGCACATAAAGCAAACAAAGAAGATTGTACCTGAGGATAGACCTTTGAAGAAACCTACTCTTTTGGCTATAGGTACTTACACTTATGATCGCTGTTGGCTGTTCTTTTGTAGAGAAACAGATATTGATTTATGTGTTTTTTATTTTTTAAGGTGTTGAAGGGGGATTTGACAACAATGAGCCTGAATATGGGGAATCTTACAGTATAGTCATTTTGCCCAATTATGTTACTCTTCCTTTTCCATCTGTGGAGTTGCCAGAGAAGGTGCTCATCATTTCATTTTTTATACCTTTATTTGGGTTAAATTTGGTACTGTTCTAAACTTGTCATGTTACATACAACAGGTAAGGTTGGCAGTTGATGCTATTTTACTGAACGAAGGTGTTGAAAAGAGAGAGCAACTTGCAGCATGGACAGCTGATAAGAAGCAAGTCAGTGCATATGCAATGACTTTGCAACAAATTGACAATGGTGTTATAGTTCCTCCGTTGGGATGGAAATGTGCCAAGTGTGATAAGAAGGAAAATCTTTGGCTAAATCTTACTGATGGAATGATCCTTTGTGGGAGGAAAAATTGGGATGGAAGTGGTGGCAATAACCATGCCATTGAACACTACAAGGAAACTGGCTACCCTCTTGCTGTAAAGCTTGGGACAATTACTGCTGATTTAGAAGCAGCAGGTGATGTTCCTCATTTTTTGATTGATGCCATTCCTTTTGTACATTAACCCCTTTGTTTGTCATGACTTCTTGACTTGACTATTTACTTAAAGTGTTTCTTGCAATTGCAATTAACTTTGGTGATATCTCTTTTCTGAGGTTGTTTCCCAACATGCTCTTAGAACTTACTATGGGTAGCTTACCGTGGCAGCTCAGACGTTTTCTCCTATCCGGAGGATGATAGTGTTGAAGATCCTCTTTTAGCACAACATCTCGCTTTTTTTGGCATTGATTTTACATCATTGCGAAAGGTTACTGTCTATTGCTTAGCCGTTTTCTGCATTTTACTTGTTGGAGATGCATGTTTCTTTGTTGGTTCTTTGGTATTGTACCTTTATTGTTTGCATTTTGATCTTTAGTATAGTCTGCAAAAATGCACTTGGTGAAGGAGCGAGATGGGTTCGAGTGGTTTTTCAGTTGAATACTTAACAAAAGAATAGAAGAGAGGAAAACTAAATCCTGTACAAGTGATTATTGGTATCAATTTTTTCTTTCCAGACTGAAATGACAACAGCTGAAAGGGAGCTTGATCATAATACCAACTTTGATTGGAACCGAATACAAGAAAGTGGACAGGAAGTTGAACCTATATTTGGACCAGGTTATACAGGTCTTATAAATCTTGGAAACAGGTAATGTTGGTTGAGTTGTGGGGGTACTAGCTACAGGGTAATCATTTAATTGTTGTCCTGATTAAATTTGTTGTCATGCAGCTGCTACTTGGCAGCAACCATGCAAGTTGTGTTCTCAACACGGTCCTTCAGTGCACGGTCTGTTTCTTTTACTTTTACATTATGATGTTAAAAAATATCTTATGTTGACAAATATTTTTTTTCATATTATTTATGCTTGCCTTTTTTTATTCGGTCATCAGATACTACATGAACCAAAACTTAAAAGTGGCTTTTGATATGGCTCCTTATGACCCAACGGTGGACCTTAATATGCAGTTGTAAGTTCTTTAATCTATGCAGTCTCCCCCCCCCCCTCATATCAAGCATGCCAGGCAATAAATATGGTTTTCAATGAGCTATTATCCCCTACAGGCATAATTGGCAATGATTCCCCCCCATGTTTACTGAGAAAAAGATGCTCTTTTTTTTCTCTTCCTTTTGGAATTTGAGTTTGTTGTTTTATTATTGTATTGCTTTTATTTTATTTCTCTTTTCTGCATTCTTTGGAATAGTCATATTTGTTCTTTCCATCTTGTTCTTTTGTTATCCCAGGAGTTGTTACAAATCAAACATTAAAAGAGGATTTTGAATTAAATGTCCAATTGATTTCACTCATGTATATTTTTACTAATTTCTGTTGTATGGCAGAACAAAGCTGGCACATGGTTTGCTATCTGGTAAATATTCTGTCCCAGCATCAGAGGTATGCAAACTTAACAAACCTGGTGTCCTTGGTATTCTTGTTTGCTGTCTCTATTCACTCATTTATTTATTTCATTTGGTAATCCAGAAAGATGGTAGTGCTGCACCCACAACCGATGCTGTAAGCTTTCTGTTCTCTTTTCTATTCATCATCAGTTGTTTATGTGTGTGTAGTTTCCTAAAGTTGCTTGTTTATATAATTTATCTCAATAATATTTGGCTTATATCTTTATTATTGTTTGTTGTTTTCTCCCTTCTTATTTTCCTTTAACTCTCTGTTTCCCTTTCATGTTGTCCCTCTTCTTTAAATATAGAAACAGGAAGGGATTCCCCCTCGTATGTTCAAATCAGTTATTGCTGCCAGCCACCCTGAATTTTCTACTATGAGACAACAGGTATGATCAATGTGTTGATGACTGTGATGTCATTTTTTAGGTACCATCTGGTGTTTCCATTCTGGAGCAGTAGGAAATATATGTTTTGTGGGCAATCTATTTTCACTTTTAGCTTTCATTGCCTCACCTAGTAACTTGAAAAAATCTGTAGGATGCTTTGGAATTCTTCCTTCATTTTCTTGATCAAGTTGAACGTGCCAATAGTGGGAAACCTGAATTGGATCCCTCTAGGAGTTTCAAGTTTGGTGTTGAAGAGCGTATCTTGTGTACATCTGGAAAGGTTGCTTATAATAGAAGACTTGACTATATCCTTTCATTAAATATACCGCTGCATGAAGCTACTAATAAAGGTATGTTAATTTGGTATCTACAAAATATGAAAGTAACTGGATGTTCATTTGCATCAATTTTGCATGTCATAAGCTTTGTATTCTAAAAGTTGCTCTTTGAGAACTCAGAAGAACTGGAAGCTTCTCAGAAAATGAAGGCAGAAAAGATTTCAGAAGGGAAAGATGTGTAAGTTAAATGCTTATAGTTTTGCTACTCCCTTTTCTAGGCTCTTTATTTTCACTGAGGAGCTAGGAAATCTTGTTCTACAGGTCCAGTCATGAAATTGTACGTCCAAGGGTGCCTCTAGAAGCATGCCTGGCAAGCTTTTCAGCTCCGGAGCAAATACCTGATTTCTATAGCTCTGCATTGAAGGCTAAGACAACAGCAATCAAGTGAGATTTTGGATCTTTCATGCTGTCAGTTTCCTTTGGTTATGTTATTTGGTTCTGAACCTTTACATCATTTTTCTGTCTATTTTATACTGCAGGACTGCTGGTCTAACTTCTTTTCCTGATTATTTGGTATTGCACATGAGAAAGTTTGTTATGGAGGCAGGCTGGGTTCCAAAGAAACTTGGTACTTATCATTCTTGCACATTGTTGTTTTGCTCTGGATGGTATTCTCCTGGTTTTTTGTTTTTTTCACTAGTCATTTTTGTGAATCCAGATGTCTACATAGATGTTCCTGATGTGATAGATATTAGCCACATGCGTAGTAAAGGGCTTCAACCAGGGGAGGAGCTGTTGCCAGAGGGTGGTATGTATTACTTTCTGGTGTTTTACTTGACTAATGCTTGTTGAATAAAATTCATGTCTATTTACCAAAGTAGATTTCCAATTAAGAAGATGTTGCGTTGGGTTCAGTTATGTTAATGTCTGTGTTTTCACCATTTATTTGATATTGATACTGAATTCTTAACTTTGATACTGTTGTGGCCAAAAATTGAGAAACACGATACTGACACTGGATAAGATATGAAATGCAATCAGGAATGTTAGGGCTGGGATCCTATTAAAAGTTGGATTCTCTTTACATTAGTTTTCTTTCTCAATCAGTCTGTTGCAGATGTAGGATGATTTGTGAAGCAAGAGAAGTTGCTCCTTTGTGTCCCTTTGCTATAATGGAAGTCCAGAGGAGTGGAGGGTCCTATGTAGAGCTTAACTTAAGATTGTTCTTTTTTTTGCTATTTTTGTTTTTCACTGCAGTTAATGCATCAAGATTCTTTATATTTGTGTTGTGTATCATACGGATTTTTCAATGTCTTCCCTACCAATAGTGCAACGTTATCTACTGATGTTTTTCATATTTTCATGGCATTATTGTATCCATAATTCATAGTTCCTGAGGAAGAGGCCGAATCAAGAAAGCCTGTGGCCAATGAAAATATTGTTTCCCAGCTTGTCTCCATGGGGTTTAACCATCTTCACTGTCAGAAAGCTGCCATAAATACCTTAAATGCTGGGGTTGAAGAGGCAATGAATTGGTTGCTTTCTCACATGGACGATCCAGGTTCTTCAGTGTAGCTTTACATTGATGTTCATTCCCTGAAGATCCACCTTTGTTATGGTGAATTTTACTTCAATAGATGGTTCCCATTAAGGTGTTTTCTTTTTCTCCAGATATAGATGCTCCTATCTCCAGTGGAGCACAAGCAGCTGAGGCTCCTATTGACCAATCCAAAATTGATACTTTGATTACATTTGGTTTTCATGAAGAACTTGCTCGGAAAGCACTGAAGGCATCGGTTAGTCATCTTCTCATTCCTTTTGAGATTTGGAGTTGCTTGATGGTTTTGTGTAACACTTCAAATTTAATAGAAGTTTCTATGACATTTTTATATCATTTCAGGGTGGTGACATTGAGAAAGCAACAGATTGGATATTTAACAATCCCAATGCTTCAACTTCATCAGATATGGATACTACCTCATCAAACAACACCACACCTACTACAACTGATGCAGGGCTACCTGATGGAGGAGGGAGTGAGTTTCCTAAGCCTCTTTGTGGTTATGTTGTTTCTTTGAATCATACAATTTCATAATATTTTCTATATTTTACTTGTTTATGTAGCTAGTTTTACTTTCAAATTTGCCGCCTTGGAATCCTTTATTCAAATTTAGTATTGATTTTAATTAAATAATTAAAATTACGAAGCTTGCTCTGGTATACAACTGAATCATGCGTGGGGAAAATGTTTCCCGCTACTCAGCTTCACATAATTATACTTTGATTAGACATGTATTGCTCTTAATCCGGTTTTGGTCTTGTAGTAAAATGGCTTCGTGTTCCTCAATGCAGAATACCGTCTTTTCGGAATAGTGAGTCACATTGGTACATCAACTCAATGCGGTCACTATGTTGCTCACATATTGAAAGATGGAAGATGGGTTATCTTCAACGATAACAAGGTTGGAGCTTCCATTAATCCACCCAAGGACATGGGATATTTATATTTCTTTGAGAGGATTAATAGCTGAATCGGTAGCCAACAGTTGATGTTAAAGAGGGTATGAAATATATTCAACAGCAGTGAACGTTACAGAAATTTCTTCGAACCTTTTGCCTGTCGGCCTTCTCCGAAGGCATGCTTTTGTCTGAGTGCTTGATAAGCATACATTACATTCTTTTGGGAATATTAAGATTTCAATTTCTCTTTATGAAACAATTAGGACTGCTGGAACAATGTGCACCCTTTTTCCATGAACAAATTCTCTTCTTCGGTTTCATTATTTGTCATTTTCCCTTTAAATTCTCCTTCGAAGAATAGAGAGCCATGAAGAGTATCATCTATTCAACGAAAGTTAAACTCCAATGGAAAAGAACATGGAATATTTGTCAATCTTATTTTCTTTATTTTCCAAATTCTACAATGCCTCTTCTTCCGGAAGAGAAGACATGATTTGAGAGCAAAATTGCAAAAATACAAAAATACAAAACAAAGAGGGAGTTGAAAAAAGCCTATTGCAACCAACAAAATGTGTTGAACCAAAAATGGAAAAAAAATAAAAGAAGCAGCAGCCAGGTATCTCTAGTAAAGCATTATAGTGTCATGCATTGGTTTTATTATCAGTATGTTGATTGTGCAACTGAACATGAACTCCTCTTACTCTTATCATGGTGCCATGAGTCCTTCAATGGTGTAAATCAGAGACTCCGCCCAGTCAGCTTTAAATAGCAATGTCCGCAAAGTCTGCATCATGTCATACCCTGGATCGAGCTTCCGTTGCCATCCCTAGGAGGGTGAAGAGAAGCATTCAAAACTTGAGAATATGGAAAATTAAGGTTATTAATGTTATCATGCTTTGTATGCCAAACTATATTATCCAAAGCCTAAATGTGACATAAGCAACTTGTGCATATAATTATGTAAACGAAAAAGCATAGTGCAGTTTGGACTGCAATACATTAACAATTGAATGGGGAGTTGGGACTCTTGATATTGAGGCCTCCCTCCATCCAATGGTTCTTATTTTACAGTTCAGTATAGTCCAAACTATAAAATAGGGTTCTCTTACTTAAATATATATTTCAGACTGGCAACACTGTCCAACATAATGCTATTATTATAGTGTTGCATAATCAATTGATTGCCAAAAACCAGTGTGGCAAAATCAAACATTGAACCAATTAATTATAATTGCTATGAACTTGTGAGGTGCCAAAAGATGCCTATTCATTGTAAAAATATTCAAAAGCATCAATGTTCTTTAAGGTTATAGGTAACAGAAAAAGGCAATATTACCTCAAGAACCAAAGTAGTCACCATCACAGTACAAACATTTCCATCAATATTGACTTTATGATGTCTAACATGCTCAAGCAGTTGTTGCAAGCCCTCGGCTGGATGGACTAACTTACCATCAGGCGAACCCCAGGAAAGGAATGATTTTTCAACATCCTGCGCAGCCAAAAGAAACCTCATAAAAAAGTATGAACTTCTTAAGTATAGAATACTATCATCTATCTTATGCCATCTATTCTCTAAATAGCACTGACAGTAGTATTATTGAACCTATGCATAGATGTGTGAGAGGCAGATTGACCTGAATCTTTTGCCACTTGCCTGACCAAATTCAATAATTCTTTTTCTGAAGTTTGGTTTTATCACAGTGATCTCCAAGGCCATAGAGAGAAAAATTGTCTTAATAGATATAAAACTTATATGAGCATTGTTTGTTGGAATGCATTCCATTATCACAGGCACCAGTTTCAAAGTAAAAAACTATAGCATGAAAACTTGATGATAACGGAGATAATTATGGATCTTTGACAATGGCATAGGAAAAAGGTATAAGATGTTATTCAAGCAACAAGATAGCAATGAATTTGTGAAGAAAATCAAATGTAAGTTTTAGTGTAAATAACCTTTCCGTTGGTAGGAAAAACCAGCAAAACACACAACAAATAAGCTCTGCAGCTAATGCACTACCTTTATGAAGGCTTCTGGATCAGGGCAATTTTGCTGTTTAGAAAATCTAAGTGTACATTCTGCAGCAGTTCGACCATCTTGAAGAGCAACGGCCTTAAAGAAATCCAGTAAATTTACTCGATCTGTCTTAGAAAGTTCAGCAGTCATTCCAACATCAAGGAAAACAACCTGAGGCTTTGAATTGAAGAGCTGTTTAGGTGATGGTTTTCTACGTTTGACTCGAACAAGAATATTCCCAGGATGCATGTCTGCATGAACAAAATTATCTACCTGGAATAAAATGAACCACAAATGTCAGAATAAAACTTGAAAATTTTGGGGCACCAAATTCTTTGAGGAGACAATGGACGACTCAAATAAGATATGAAGAAGATAAAAAATGTTTTCCAGACGGTTTTATTCTTTGATAAAAATTGTTTTATGCAATATGCACAAAACTCAAAATAGACATCTTTATAGATAAACATATAAGACAGTATTTCGGAAGTTGAGGAACAAGAATACAAGAAATTAAAGGAAGGAGGGCAGGGAAGAGCAAAAGAATACCAAAAGCATCTTTAAAAGTGCATGCGTCCCAATGTGAGCAAGATCAGTTTTTATCTGTTCATGTCCTTCAAGCTCATCAACATAGTGCAAAACACTTTCACCATGTTCATAAGTTTCCACAAGAACAGCAGGATGCACCAGAGGATATTGAGGTTTTGGGAATGAGACATCCTCACATCTGCGGAAATTGTAGATAAAACGGCTTAACTGTGCAGCTTCCCTAGCAAGATCAACTTGAGACATCATGTAAACAGCAAATTGCTGTATACTTTCATCCAGTCTATACCATTTCAATGTTGGAATGACCTTTGAAATTTTGGCAACAAAATTAATTATCATGAAGTCTCTTCTAATTGCTTCACCAACCCCTGGATGGCGAACCTTAACAGCAACTACAATTGGCTTGGTCTGTTGGCCTGGATATCGATACTTCAAAGTTGCTCGATGAACTTGAGCAACACTTCCAGATGCTATAGGATTCTCTTCAAATGCTGCAAATATTTCAGGTAGCTTTCGACCAAAAGCATTTTCAATAGTCTTCTTTGTGAAGGAAAAACTATGTGACGGTGCTTTACTGTGTAGTTTTGCAAGTTCAGCACACAGGTCTCCAGGAAATAGATCTGGTCTTGCTGCAGCCCACTGACCCCATTTTATAAAGGCTGGGCCTGCTTTCTCCAGTGTAAGGTGAACAATACGAACCCACATTTTCCTAAACTGTATGCCAAGAGAATCTGCAAAAGGGGCTAAGGCAATGCAGGGTGAAAATAAAATTGCTAAATAGATAGCACGGGATAACAAAATAACACCCTCCAAAAGTAAAAACAGTAGTGATGCCAAATAAAAGTGGCTGTTTTGTGCCTGCGTGTAGAGAGTATCCATTGTTGGAAAGCATTCTGCTTCTGCACATGCGTTTTTCCTCCAGGCAAGTTCTCCAATTATGATGGCAAGAACCCCAGGAGCCAACAGGTTGGATTTCGTCAAAGCCAGACTTAATGCACAGGCAATTCTATTTATTGGCGGTAAAGCAGCTGGTCCATGGTGGGAACATATCCAAGATAACCCCTTCCAAGCAACTTGGGCATGATGTGATATCTTAGAGCTTAAAGATATGGCATACAAGTTCCTAGAAAAACTATTCCTCAACAAGCCCTGCTTTACTTTGTACAACATAAAACTTGAATGTCCTCTAGAAGAAACTATATATTGTGAATATAATCTGCAAGGATGGTAAGAGAGCCCAACTTCATGATTCACCCCATTATTATTTGCTTCTATAAAGCCAGTCTTCCAATTCACTTGAAGGGGTTGTGCAACCCTCTTAAAATTTCCAAAAGCTGAGAATCTGCAAGTTAAAATATCTACCATGTCACCCAAGTTATCTTCCATGGAATT